AAGAGTCGGTCTTCCCATCACTACACAACTGACTAAATCAGGCTATAGGCCTCGTGCCGTGTTCATGAACATCACGGCCAAAACGATATTACCGAAAACGTAGTTTAAGACCATAGAGTAATTTATATTTTATTTATATGTTATAATTTATATTTTTATTAATTCTGACTACCTTTTAACAATAAGGGTTAATTCAAATTAATATTTATACTAATTCCTTAGTAATTTTAACTAATGAAACCTACTTCTGCTATTTTGTAATTCAAATAAACATTTTCCTTGCTTCACATTTGACATTCAATCAACCCTTTATTGCAGTATTTCAGTGTTGTATATCATGGGGTATTTTGTTTTTTCCATCCATTACAGTGATGTGCCTTATAATTAAAACTTTCACAAGAGATGATCAAATCTTCCTCACTGAAAAGATCTTCAATGTCCCTGTGCTCATCTGAACACACAAATACTCTTCAGAAATAACAGTCAAAAATGCTCATACAACTTGAAAAACATGAGAAAAGCTGAGAGGATATTTAGACCATAAACACAGCATTTGGCATGACTCCAGCATATGAGAAACCATGACGGAATTGAGTCAGTACAGTACATGTATACACTTCTTCAACACATTTTTATTGTTCCCTTTACATCCATCAGTGCAGTCACAATTGAAGATGTGCAGTATTTTTGATTTACTTTCATCAGTTACAATCATAGATCTCCTTTATGCAGTCCAATCTACAAATCAAGACACTTTATCTCTGTTCTCAGTAGTGTTTTTAAAAGTTATAGAACAACATTAAACTGACATGGTTTTCTACTGTTTGTGCACACAAATAAATAAAAACAACAAAAACAAACGCCAAGAAATATTACAACAAAGCAGCAAAAAGGATGAGGTAAAACTTACAAGAGTACATACAGTGACATTTCAAGTTTTATTTAATAATGATTGCATATTCTCACCAATATATTTTTTATCTACTATAGAACTGGACTCACTCTCAGTACCGAACATTGCCCTCAGACTCGCTGGTGCTGCTGCTCTTTCTTTTCCTCTGATGATCATCTTCAGCCCTCCAGTTGAGCACATCATATAGTTTCAAAAACTCCTCCTCTTCCTGTAAACTGTGGATAAAATATATTCATGTGTTCATAGTTTATAGAAGTATGCAACATATATAATCATGTTTTAAAAAGATCATAAGAGATGTGCTAAAACATATAACCAGCTTGAACATAAAATGCTG